GATTTATCAACTATTATAAAATATTCAAAATGTCCAATGTAATTCTTACAAATAATTCATCACTTCAAATTCTAACCTATGTGAAAATAATGTTTATGAATTCTTATGTCCTTTGGGAGATTGTATCTCCAACACCACTAACAATCAAAAAACAACATTAAATTCTTATGTTGGCCACAGATGCACCACGCTTTCCCGTAGCTTAACTTGTCATTTGTCAATATATATATAATGCTACTGTGATCAAAGGAGAAAACAGTTCACTACGACGTAGATGTCTGATTACAAGATCATCTACAGTAAATTTGCGCCCTTGCTCTTACAACCTTTCACCATTCTTGGCAAATCTTCTATTATCACAGTGTGGGATACCTACTTACAAAAGTGATGGAAAGAAAAAGAAAAATGAGTCCAAAGGAATTCGGTTAGATATAAAAATAAAAAAAAATGAAAATAAAAAAATTCTAAAATCCACAACACCCCTGGGGTGATGCGAATTTTAGATTTTTTTTTCCAGCCGAATTCATTTAGAGTCTTTCTTTCCATCACTCAGTATGAATTATTTTTCTCATCTGATCAAAGGAGAAAATAATTCACTACTACGTAAATGTGGAGATAGTGTCTTAACCACAAAGTCATCCACAGTAAATTTGCGCCCTGGCTCTTAAAACATTTTACCATTCCTGATAAATCTTCTAATATCAAAATGTGGAATATCTCCACACAAAAGTGACGGAAAGAAAAAAACGATTCTATATATATATATATATATATATATATATATATGGGATAAAGACGCGTTTCGTCCTTTAGGACTTCACCGGACTAAATTTGTTATGTTGGTAGAACTACACATGCGCACGACAGAGGGATGCTGGGATTTTTTTTCTAGCCGAATTCATTTGGAGTCCCTTTTTTTTTTCTTTCTATCACTCTGTGTGAATTATTTTCTCACCTGATCAAAGGAGAAAATAATTCACTACTACGTAAATGTGGAGAGAGTACCTTAATTCGTAAGGTCATCTACAGTAAATTTGCGTCCTGGCTCTTAAAACATTTCACCATTTCTGGTAGATCTTCTAATATCAAAATGTGGAATAACTACTTACAAAAGTGATGGAAAGAAAAAAATTCTAAATGAATTCGGCTGGGGAAAAAAAAAGTTCTAAAATTCCCAGCAGCCTTCTGTCGTGCGGATTTGTAGTCTTACCAACATAACAAAATTTAATCCGATGAAGTCCTGAAGGACGAAGCGCGTCACTGGTAAACTTTTTTCACTTTGTCATACAATTTCCCCAATATTGTTTTTGATATATAAAAATATATACCGTCATCTCATCTCGAATATCAATATTCTATCATCAACATAAATATTAAATGTGTGTAAAAGTGACTAAAAGATTTGTCTTTAACAAAAATATATTCATGTGAAAAATATTGATGATATTGAAGGCAGATCAGCAAAAATCGAGACCCAATATATACACCGTAAAATCTATCACATGATGCAAGCTTACAACCGTTCGTTGATAGTCATAAATCATCGGTTGAACTTCCAACCTCACATGATCTCTTATCATTGAGTCCTTGTGTCATACTTAGCTTAGCTTACTGAAGATTGCAAAAGTGTCGATAGTAAAACATATACAAACAAATATAGTTTGACATAGTTTGATCTAGTACAATGTTAAATCGACGAGAGTAGAAGTAGAAAGATTGTGCTGCGCCATTATTTTGATTGAACAAAGACGGCCTGCCTACCTGAAAAATATACATTCGAAATTATATTTTTTTACCAGTACACCAACCAACTTGTCCTCGTAAGAACCAAAACAGCTATCCTACCAAAGATGTGGCCAAAATATCTGCGAATATTATGCGAATGCTGATTTTCAAGGCAGGCAAACACTTCTTAATTGATACAACACAATCTTCTTCTTATTCATTCCACATCAGATAGCCTTATGCCAGACTAAGAGTAAGAAATATCTGTAACTTTATGCGCATGCCCAAAACTTTTCCTTCGATTTTTCTGTCGAAAAGAATAAAATAAAAAGAAAGGATCGATATTAATGCTTTCTTGCAGTCTTCCTTTTTATTAAAGAGTCTTACTCTTGTTCTTTTTCTTCTCCTCCCCGCTCTCTCTCTCTCTCTCTCTCTCTCTCTCTCTCTCTCTCTCTCTCTCTCTGTATATATATATATATATATATATATATATATATATATATATATATATATCATTCTCTTTCTCTCTCGCTCCCCAGGTCTCTTTCGGTCTCTTGATCACTTTTTTCCTGATTCCAATGGATTCAATTTTTTTAATCCTCTCACATTTTCTTTGCCCCCTTTTCTCTTGAAGATAGATAGATAGATAGATAGATAGATAGATAGATAGATAGATAGATGCAAACTCGCAGGCATGCATGCACACACACGCACAAACATGTATACACACACACACACAAACGCACATAAATATATATATATATAGCTGAGTCTTTTTATATATATATATATATATATATATATATATTGTGTAATATTAGTATGTTTGTAGGAGGAGAGTGTTTAATTTCAGCTTCACGCTTCAAGCGATCTTCAGACCATGAGTCACCACTCCTTAGATGGCCCTCTTTCTCTACTTTTCTCTCTTTCTCTCTCTCTCTCTCTATATATATATATATATATATATATATATATATATATATATATATATATATATATATATATATATATATATATTGCAAATGTGTTTGTATAATGTAAATCGGTATTGATAAGAATAGGTCAGCCTATCAGAAAGATTCGATTGGCAACAAGGCTAACAGTGTACGAGACTAACTTGTATCTTATAGACATCATATAGATATATACATATACCTATATGAGAGAGAGGCGGTAGGTAGGTAAGTTTGATTACTTTTCATTATCATATACACACACGTACTCAAATGGGAAAAGTGGATAGAGAGATTTAAGCTGCTTTCAACCAGAACAATATACGCGTGTTATTGTGCAATATCCATTTCCCGTATATATATATATATATATATATATATATATATGTGTGTGTGTGTGTGTGTGTGTGTGTGTGTGTGTGTGTTATGGTTGTGGGTGTGTTTGGGAGAGAGAGAGAGGTGCTAGACGCCTGATGAATATCATCATATTGAATACCTTTTCGTTTTTCACCGAATCTAGGCAGGTCCATCCCAGAAGGGAGTTCGGCTCAATACAATCTTACCGTCTCTGTATTTTCCCTTAATGTGCTCTTCTAAGTTAAGCCTTTCTATAGTCGTGCACCTTTATTTAATACATGTATACATACAGTACATATTACGATAACGCAAAAATATTAGAAAAAAAAAAACACTCTGTTTTGTTCTAAGCAACCTCATAAATCCAACCTTGTAGAATATGTAATCCTTCCGCTCTCGTCAGCTTTTGCGGATTTTTTTTCTTTCTTTCTTCCAAGAATTTGATTTATTTCATTAAGAGAATTCGGAAACGACTACAGAAGATGGTAATCTAAAGGTACAGTGTGCGTTAAATAGGGCTGGGTGTCTGGCACCAATTGTTTGAGTTTAAACCAGAAGTTTGCATAGTAATTTTCCAAACGAGGCAAGCAGGTTTGAAAGATTGGTGATACTTAGTTTTCCAATTCTACCCTCCTCCACAAGCCCAATTTCGGTTTGTGTCAGAGTAAGCTGAATAATGTGAATAAAATAATTATAAATTTTACTTAATTTCTATAACTAAAAAAAATAAAAAATAAATAAATAAAAAAACTCGACCAGAAAAATACTTCAATTTAGTTTTGTTTCTTATCCTGTCCCACCTCCGGTCATCCTAAATCGCTTCCCATCTCTTTGTTTCATTTTTTTTTTTTTTTGATTCATCCCAAGCAAGGCGATAATGCCACTAAGACGTGTTGGAAAGCGAATGAGAAGACGGAACCAGAAACCCAATCTTAAACAGGAAACGATGGATAAACCTTTACTCCGATTCAAAAAACCGAGCAGGAGTCTGAACCGTACGATAGGCGAACCTACCTACTTTTTATCGTTCATTTAATTCTCACTCTTCTTCTCTCTCTCTCTCTCTCTCTCCTTCTCTCTCTCCTTCTCTCTCTCTCTCTCTCTCTCTCTCTCTCCTATTCTATTCTATTCCTTCTTTTACTTCTGTTTTCTGCTGACCCTTAAAAAAAAAATCTTTTTCCTTGTTCGCTCTTACGACTCTCTTTTTTTCTCTTTTCTTCTTTCTCTTTGTCTACAATATTTTTTTTTTATCTTGTCTCAACTCTTTTACTATCTCATCTCTTATTTCTTTCTTCTATTCGCTAGATTTCACTTGTCCTATCAATCTTCCTTTCCTCTACTCCTTCTCTCGTGCTATCCATGTTCATCTCTATCTCTCTCTCTCTTTCTCTTGTCTCTCTCTTTCTCTTGTCTCTCTCTATTCACTCTCTTTTCTCTTCCCGCTAACCTTTTTTCTTCGCTAAATCTCTCCTGATCAATTTGCATCAGTACCACATAAATTTAACCAATCTCATTCCTTTTTCCTCTCTTTCTCCATCTTTTCTTCTTTTTACGTCTCACAAGGTCTCTCCAACTCAGCCCCCACCCCGACACTGACTTTTGTATTATGCAATCTCTTACTATGTATATTGTTTTTTTTTTTCTTCCTCCTCTTCTCCCTTTGTTTCTCTGTCTCAATGTATTTCTTGTGTCGTTCTATCTTCTCCCTCTATTTATTTGTCTTCTTTTTCTGTTTTTTTTTCCTTCTCTTTCTTGCATATAATTCTCTCTCTTCGTCATCTCTTTTTCTTTTTCTTCCATCGATTAACTCTCTGCAATCTTTATCCTCCCCTATTATTATGTGTCTCCATCTTTCCCTTTTATTGTCACTTTCTCACTACTTATACCACTCTCGTCTGTTATTTTTCAAGCGCCGTTCTCCACACACACGCACTCTCTCTCTCTCTCTCTCTCTCTCTCTTTCTC